CTTTCTCGACAGACACCACCTCCCAAAAGCTAGCAGATCCCGTTCTACGTAAGGAACTCTCTTTCGAGCTAGTAGTGGTCTACTTCCTAGCTATGTCGACACATGGTACAGCGCATTCACTTCCAAAATTACTTCTTGGAAGGATGGACGTGTCGCACCGACAATATTTTCGCGGGGGCGTCAGCAAACAACCACTTACCATCATGTTACTAATTCTTACCCTCGCCGCTGTTTTCCATTTCGCACCTGCGTCCTGTCAAACACGTGAAAATGTTATTTCGACCTCAAACGGAGCGTCTAACAAAATCCCAACTAAGATGACTATGACAAGAACTACCAGCGCCGTCGCTGCAGACGGATTATCAAGTTTCGGCAAGGACAGGACAGTACAGGCCGGACTCCTGTCTGAGCTGGTCACGCGGAAAGCGCGGGCCGTGGAAGCGACACAGCAGACGCTCGTGCTTCTCCGCGAATTCCGGTCGCTCAAAGATAGCATCGCCGATGCAAACGGGAAGATCCAGGAGGCGGTGGGCGCGCGGGGGAAGCTCAACGTGACGTCAGCGCGACTGAAGGAGCAACGGAAAGTCGTCGACGAGCTTTCCGTGATAGTCGAAAAAACCGCGAAGCGCATGTACGAGCAAGAGTCGGAGGACGTCCGGCTGTCGCTGGTAACAGCGGGCGAGGCGAAACTCGTCGCAGAGCGACTTGCTGCGAGACTCGCACGGAAGGTTCTGCGACTGCGCGACAAAGTGGCGTCGTACAGCATCATAGTGACGTGTCGCGACGAGATACTTAAAGCCTGGGAGCAGCGGCTCCCGCAGGCAATGGAAGCGGAGAAGATTACTAACGCGACGTTGCGAGATTATCTTGCAGTATTTAAACGTGCAATGAGATCCTTTCCTGAATCTGAACGTGCCATTCTCGGAATCGTCCAATCGCCATCCTCAACAAGCCGAGATGAAACCCGTGGCGCGCCGCCAGTTGCATTGGGTTCCGTCGCAGATGTCACAGAGAATGATGATGAGAGCAATAAAAAAAGACAGGCCAATCATGGCGCGTCGTTGTCACCTCTGCTCACTGGCTCTTTAAACAACGGGAATTCCAACGGACCTCCATCGAACGGACCAGAAAATGTTCGTGGGGTGCCATTCTGGAGTGACAAAGACGACCTTTATCTCACGGAAGTCGAAGCGCCCCATGTCGAAGTGATGGATGCTGCACACGGTTCTCAAGACAAGAGTTCGCAGCAGAAGAGTCTAGGCTTGCACAAGTCGACCGAAGCTGTGTACAAGATTGCAGCAGCAGACGCAGAGGAGGTGGTGGCTCGGGGATTGCTGGAGAGCCTCCGAGCCGAAGTCCAGGCTTGGAAATATTCCACAGCTGAGGCTCGGGGGTCAGAGGGCTTCCGGAAGCTGAAGAGGGCGCGTGAAGAGCTGGATAATGCGGAGGGCGATGCGGAATTTGCGGTTTTCCAGGTGAAGGAAGGCGAAAAAGACCTGGCACAGGCAGAAGCTAAGCTGGCGGACGCACGGGAGATGGCCGACGAACAGACGAGGATTCTGAGTGAAGCTAATGAAGATATGCGCCTCGCCATGAGTGCTGAGTCTACGGCTCGGACCTTGGGAGCAAGGATGCAGCGGGAGGAGGCTGAAGTAGTGAAGGCTCAGGCAGGGAGAGTGGCAGGAGCAATGAGCAGGAAGGTGAAGAAAGCTGAGACGTTGGTCTTAGAGAGAAGGCAAGAGTTGCAAGTTGCGATGGTGGAAAGGGAGAAGGCGGCAAGGAAGGTTGCAGGGTTGAAATCCCGTGTGAAGGAGCTGCAGGAGAGGTATGGTGAGGGTGAGTTAGAGGCTAAGGAGGCTGTTAGGCTCATGAAGCTGCTCAAGCCAGTTGTGATTGCTAAGCATGGGGAAGCTCTTGCTGCGCAGGGCAGATTGTGAATGCTTAGGAGTTTGTGTCTTTGTCCCTTATTAAAGTAAGATAATAATCTGTTCAAAACAGTACCTCTTATGGGTTGTAAGCGGATAGAGTGCGAGGAATTAGATGACGAGAAACTGCTTACAACTACTGAGCAATTGATGGAGCCTAGCACTGATATTGTGAAGAGCCTTGCTAGGCGAGAACCTCGGGGTGCCCCTTATAGGCACACAGTCAGATAAGGTCCTCAGCGGGGATGAACGGAGGGGGCAGGCACAGGAAGCGGGGTAGTGATGAGAAGAGTGTTGGCGATGATGATCTAGGGGATGCGCTGGCCACCTCCTATAGGCGCACATAAGATAAGATTCTGCAGAGGGGGAGTGAAGGGCGTGAGGGGCGGCGGAGCTCAAGAGATTAGGGGCATTGAGTTAGGTGAAAGGGAGGGTCAAGTGAGGAGGATGAAACGAGTGCATCCAGCCACAAAACTGTTTCGCACTGACACTCACATATATGTATGTAGATATGAATGTATACATATATGTATACTATATGTGTGTGTGTGCGTGTGTGTGTGTGTGTGTGTGTGTGTGTGTGTGTGTGTGTGTGTACATAAGGCACCTTGAAATCCATCTCATGCTGATGTGCACACTCACCTGTGAAGGGCTTCAACGCTCATGAGGTCATGAGCTGCGCTTGGGTCGATATAGAGCGCTTACACTCACCCACGAGGGGCCCTATATCCACCTATGAGGGGCCCAACACTCACCTGAACAACCTCTTCATGCTCCACGGCATGCAGGCAATGAAGGTCATGAGCTGCGCTGCTGAGTTCAGTCAGGAGTGTTCAAGACCTTCACATCCACACTCACTCATGTGGGGCCCTACCTACACTCACCCATATAATGGCTTCACGCTCCACGGCATGTAGGCAGTGGAGGTCATGAGCTGCGCTGCTGCTGGGCCCAGCTTCAGATGGTCCTTCACCAGAATGCTGATGCCCGTCCAGGGGAACGCACTGAAACCTGAAGAGTGTGAATGTGATGGCACGGGCACGTGCAGGTCCTGCTTCAGATGGTCCTTTACCAAGAAGCCGCTTTCAGTCCAGGGAAACGCGCGGAAGCCCTGAGAGGTATGAGTGAGTGGGGGAGCGGTGAAGCACGGTGGAAGGGTGAAGGGAGGGAATGAGGCATGAGCAAAAGGACCGACTTAAGATGCACCTTCAACAGAACGCTGATGGCCGTCTAGGAGAAGGGGATGCGAATGAGTGGAGAAGGGGTGAAAAACGGCGAAGTGGTAAGTGAGAAGAAGCCGCTTAAGAGATGTCTCATAGCCATACAACCCGTAAAACCTCGGTGAAAGCTGTCAAAAACCGTAAATCTTGGTCAAAATCTGTCATAACATGGTCAAAATGCGTCAAAACCAGTCAGTACTCGTCTCGTAGCCCTTGCAACATATCAACTGTGCCCAGTAGATGCTGAAGACGAGGATAAGGAACGGCGTGCTGAAGCATCGTCGCAGCGAGTTGAGCCACGAGACAAGAAGCATGGTGGCGCACAGGCAAGGAGGTGAGAATTCACCGGTGGAGATGGACGGCCGAGATGCCCGCGATGGATCGCACGCGACGTTCTTTTGAAGGCTGAGGAGTTGTGGACGAAGGGTCGGCTGTCAAGTGAGACGGTGAGCGGTCATGTGAGGGGTTGGATCGTGAGATGGTAAATGGTCAAGTGAGACGGTGGACGGTCAAGTCAGTTCACCCAATCAGGGCTCCTCATATCCTCCCGGACTCATTTTTGATAGGCTTAAGCATCATTCACGCGAAAATGTTCAAGTTAAGGTTCTGACGATGAGAGTACACGCGATTGCTGCACTGAGCAGCTGCAGTCAGCGTCGCGCAGTCAGCTGCTACAGCTATGCCATTGTCGTAAGGTCATCCGGTGCGATAGCCTGTAAAGGAATTTCTTCGAATTCTGACCAGCGAAAGACGAATTATGACACACAGATGCTGCCCGGAGTAATGGCGGCTTCTCAGAAGAAGAGATCCAGACCCTCAAAACTGTGAGTGCAAAACTCGGAGAAGCCGAGATGCGCTTAAGTATTGTTTTTTGTCGGAATGGAAGCCGTTAAAAACAGTGAGCCGGTAAAGACGCCGTGCGCGCGAACGGTAAAGGCGTCCATACCAGAGACGACTCAGCTCAAAGATTGTGGGCCTCCTACAGAAACGGGAAAATTGGAGGCTCACTCGAACCAGGAACAGGCAGAAAATGAAGGAAAATGATGAAAATGGAGAAACCGAGAAACGGAGGAAGAAAGAGGTCCTACCTGGGCTTGTTGAGCTGGGTTGCTGGGGGGTGAGTGGAAAATGCGGATCTCAAGAAGCCTCGAGAATGGATCTCTAGTTGCTCGAACCGTGAATTTCAGATGCCTTGGTTTGGGCGAAACTCGCGACGGGAGTGATGCCTGTCGCATGAGCGACCTGACAGGGAACCACTTTTGCTTCCCGCGTGTTTGCCGCAATACACCACCCCAGGGATTGGTCCGTCCAGTCCAACGCGCTCCTATTACCTCCAAAGAGCAGTTTCGTCTGGTCTGACACGGTCCACAACGGTGGAGAGCTGGAACAGTTTTCGACGTTGGACTGTTGATCGAACAGGTTTGTGTTGCCCAACGTTTTCTACAGACGGCGTGTGCGACTTCGAGTTTCGTCGCTTTACGTCGACTTTCGCCGACCCCGAAGTCAGACACACCTAGAATGGTTCTGACAAGACGAAAGCATGCGAACTAGAAACTCTCTCCACCCAACCACCAATCTCGCAGACCGCTAAATCCAATCCCTATGCTGGCATCTGGTCTGAAGAGGGGCATGCTTGTCAAATGGAGCAGCGATGTCCGCGTTCGCTATGTAAATTCTTTTGAATCGATGCAGTAGAAGATGGTGACATGGAGTTTCTACGATCAAGGCTGCGTCAGCGGAGGCTTCCACTTTCGCAACTCGATCTCGCGGAACCTCATGCGTCGCAAAACAACGAGCGGGTTACCACAAGCGTTCGCGTGTTGAGATTCGCGCGAAATCTGATCCGGAGAATACGATGGCTGTCGTGGCGAAATCTAGTCATCGCATTCTTTGCTACATTTCTCCTGCTTTACGCGATTCACCTGTTCGTGTGGGACAGTTCATGGGGATGCGATCGCCTACCGCTAGTCTCTGGTATGCCACCCATTTGTAGACCGGAGGCTAATGCCGACCTAGAATATTCTCATCCTCCCATCCATGTCCATTTCCTGATCCACTTCACTCAGCGATTCCCTGATTCCCGGCCTGCACGTCATCCCTCCCCGCTCAATCCCCTCCGCTCCATTGTTCCTCCCCTCAGTCATTCATTCTTTCTCCTCGCTTCACTTCCCTCTCCTGTGCTTCATTTCCTGAGTCTGATTCAAAATCGGATGTCTCAAAAGGCATGAATGCTCTGGAGCCCTCTCCCACACACTACCCACCTTCGCTTCCCCCTGCCTTGGCTTCTCATTCTCCGTCCTCTCAGCGGCCAACTGCTGGTGGGCCGAGCCCAAGAGCGTGCAGTCGCACTACATATACGGCTACGAGCTCCCCAGACTCTTCAACACACTGTTGTTCCTCAGACCCCCCATTCCCCCCAACCCCCCCTTGCCTCCCTTCCATCATTCCTCATTTTCCCCTCCTCTCGCAGCGGCCAACTGCTGGTGGGCCGAGCCCAAGAGCGTGCAGTCACACTTCATCTACGTCTACGAGCTCCCCAGACGGTTCAACGTTGACCTCTCTGACCGCCTCACCTCACACCACCTCTCCGATTTCCATCTAGACAACCTCCTATTCAGGTAAGAGCTTCTCTTCAAGTCGAACCCCTCCTGAATCACGTCTATACCCTGCCTGCATTGACGTTCATACGGTTCAACGTTAACCTCTCTGACTGCCTCACCTCACACCACCTCTTTGGCTTCCATCTAGGCACCCTACTGTTCAGGTCTGTGCCTCTGTTCTCATTTCATGCCTATAACACAGCCCCCTATTCGTGCCACTCCATCTCGCCTCCTCTCCTCATCTCAATTCCACCTCTCCTCTCCCCTCTCCCTCTCTCATGGCACTGCAGCGCTCCAACATACACTGCACAGTGGACCCTGAGGCCGCTTCCCTCTTCTTCCACACCATCCTGCCCATGCTGCATCCCCTTCGTCCTCCTCCCCCCCACACCCCCCTTCTCTCTCTCAGGGCACTGCAGCGCTCCAACCCAACATACACCGCACAGTGGACCCTGAGGCCGCTTCCCTCTTCTTCCTCCGCGTGCCACCTCCCCATCCCCCTCATCATTCCTACGATGCATCCCCCTCGTCCTTCCCTGTTCCCCTCCCACCTTTCCAGGGCACTGCAGCGCTCCAACATACACCGCACAGTGGACCCCGAGGCCGCTTCCCTCTTCTTCCTCCCCGTGCTGCCCATGCTGCACCTCGCCCTGCGCCTGCCCTCTCTAGAAGCCCCCTCCCTTGCGCTCGCTGCTGCGGCAGCAGGGAGAGGGGCAGCAGGGAGAGGGGCAGCAGGGGGAGGGAGAGCAGGGGGAGGAGGAGCAGGGGGAGGGGGAGCAGGGGGAGGAGGAGCAGGGGGAGGGGGAGCAGGGGGGAATGGGCTTGAGCTGTCGTTAGAGCATTGGGAGGCGCTGGCAGATACTGGGCGTTATGTGGGGGAGGCGTTATTGTATGTGCAGGTGAGAGGGGGAGGAGCTGGAATACTCAAGTGCTTGCGTTTGTGCTTGTTTGGCCTGCTCTATTTGTTGCGTGCATGTGTGTGCGTAATTTCACGTTCTTGCTCGTTTACAACAAGCTGCATGTCAGTCAGAAGCGTGCACTTGATGATTTCTTGATGTGCCTTCTTGCATGCACCCTTCGCGCCTGTTTCTGTGCCGTTCTATCTGCAAGTAATTACATTATTTTCTATGTGCGTATGCCCCTGTGCCTCTTCACTACAGTCACAATACCCCTACTGGCGACGCAGTGGGGGCAGCGACCACTTTATCATTGCATCACACCCGTACGGCCGATGCGGGTAAATGTCGTGTCACGGGTTGACTCGAGGGTTACCTGGTAACTGGCAGCCTTTGAGACGCCTCAAAGGTTGCAGTGGGGGTAGCGATCACTTCATGATCGCATCACACCCATTTGGTGGATGTGGGTAAGTGTTGTGGGCAAACTCAAAAGTTACCTGGTAACCACCAATCAAATCTCGAGGTGACCTTTGAGGTGCCTCAGAAGTCCCAGTGGGGACAGAGATCACTTTATCATCGAGTCAGACCCGTTCGGCCGATGTGGGTAAGCGTTGGGCCGATTATGGGGTTACTTGGTAACTGTCGATAAAATCTCCAGGAATAGTCGGTAACTTTGGCTAAACCCCAAAATTTAGACCTTAAAACCTGTCCCAATTCACATTTTTCCTTTGTTTCCCCATCTCTTTTTTTTTTTTAACCGAAACCCCCTGTCGGCATCCCCCCCTTTATGAACCCCTCTGTCCTTGGCTCTCCTTTCACTGGCCAACCCTCCTCCTACCCCGACCTGCTCTTCCTCTCACTCACAACACCCTCCTTTCATCCCTCCTTTTCTTTCCCTCCCTGCCCCCCTCCCCTGCCCCCCTCCCCTGCTCACCCTCCCTTGGCAGCATCCTCCCTTTCGTCAACCCCTCTCTCCTCGGCTCTCTATTCACCCTCCAGCCCTCCTCCTACCCCGACCTGCTCTTCCGCTCAGTCCTCCACCTCACCCCCACTGCCGCCGCCGCCGCCGCTGCCAGAAGGAGAGCAGCGGCCGGCAGCAAACAGACAACTGCTGCCGGTCGGTTGAAAGCTGCTCTGGCAGGGAAGAAGCGGCAGCAGGAGCAGCAGGAGGGGGTGGGGGTAGGAGATGGGAAGGGGCGTGTGGGGATAAGGCAGCAGAAATTGCAGTTGCAGCAGATGAGCAAGAAGGAGAGGAGAAGGGGGGGTGGGGAGGTGGCAGAGACTGGGGGAGGAGGAGGGGGGAGAGGGAAGAAAGGGTGGGATGGAGAGAGTGTGGGTTTGGGGACAGGGGAGGCGGAGGGACGTTTTGGGAGGCTGAGTGGGAAGAAGCAGCTTATTGCTTTAGAGATTGATGAGGTGAGTGGGTGGTGGTGGTACGAGGTGAGTGAGTGAGTGGTGATGGTATGCAGTGAATGAGTGAGTGATGATTTTGCTGCATTTCTCACTATTGTGTTATGGTACGAAGGGGAGTGGGGATGATGCTTGTCGTCCTGGGCCTGTCACACACCCTTGAAGTGGCCATCCTGCCTCTCCTCCCCCTCACACCGCCCATCCCCTCCCGGACGTGCGCAACCGCTCCCTCCCCATGCTTTTCCTCCTCAGTCCCTCTAGGCTCTCCAACCACTCCTCCACTCTCCAGGAGTACGGGGGTACCCACTTTGAGGGCTGTACATCTCCTCCCACTCACACTCTCCACCATTTCCCCCTCTTGCCATCTCCCCCTTCACCTGCCCGCCAGCACAGGGAATGCACTGTGCCTCACGTGGTAGTGATGTGGCCATTCATCCCGCCTCTCCTCCCCCTCACACCGCCCATCCCCACTCTCCCTACCTCCACACCACATCACCCCCAGTTACCCTCTTCCTGTCTCCTCTTGCTCCCTGCCCGCCAGGACAGGGAATGCACTGCGCCTCACCTGGTAACAACGTGGTCATCCCGCCTCTCCTCCCGCTCACGCCGCCCATCCCTCCCGACGCCCGCAACCGCTCCCTCTTAACCTCTTTCCAAATCCCTAGCTCTCCCTCTCCCTTTCTCCCTGCCCGCCAGCACAGGATATGCACTGTGCCTCACCTGGTAACGACCTGGTCATCCCGCCTCTCCTCCCGCTCACGCCGCCCTTCGATCTCCTCTCTCTTCCCCGTCCCATTCCTCTTCACCTGCCCGCCAGCACAGGATATGCATTGCGCCTCACCTGGTAACGACGTGATCATGCCGCCTCTCCTCCCGCTCACACCACCCATCCCCCCTGATGCCCGCAACCGCTCCCTCCCCGTGCTTGTTCTTCTCGGCCCTCCTCACCGCTCTCCACCCCTGCCCGCCCCTCCTCACCACTCTCCATCCCTCTCCGCCCCTCTCGCCTCTCCTCCACCTGCCAAGGATATCCCCAACGAGAACCCCACCTCTCTTGCACATGCCAAGCACACGCCCACAGACCCTATTGGGAATGAGGGTCTAACCAGGCGTCTATTGGGTGAAGGCGTGACTAGGCAATCAGGTGATGATGGCAATAACGGTGGTGGTGGTGATTGGGATCGCCACGGCCTTTGGAAGGAAGGGGAAGCAACTTCTGAGTCGACTAAAAAATCGACTCAAAAAAGCGGTGATGATGGCAAAGGCGGAAGTGGTTATTGGGACCGCCACGGTCTCTGGAAAGAGGGGGAAGGCGATGATGTGGCATCTGCGGATGGGGTAGCAGGAGCAGCAGTGGAAGGAGGGGCAGCAGGGGGAGCAGGGGAAACAGGAGAAACACGGGCGGCAGGGGAGGCAGCAGCAGCAGGGGAATCAGGAAGAGCTGAAGGCTGGAAGGAAGATGTGCGGAGAAGGGATGAGGGAAATGGTTCGAATGAGGGGATGGGTGCAGCAGGGGGCGGTTTCGACCGGGAGGCAGTGCGAGGGGCGTTCATGGAGATGGTGGAAACGAGCAACCCCAAGGGGTGGGCCTTGCTGCAGGTGAGATGAGACCTGCTGCTGGTGAGATGAGACCTGGTGCAGGTACTAGTGCCTATTGCATCCTTACATCCTTTTAGGGTTTCGATGGGGAGGCAGTGACAGTGTCAGGGGCGTTTATGGAGATGGTGGGGACGAGCAACCCCAAGGGGTGGGCGCTGCTGCAGGTGAGAGTGAAGCAGCAGCGCTCCCTTGTTAGCAGTGCTGCTGCAGCCGCAAGTGAGGGCGCCTAGTTCTGATTGGTAACCATGTTGTCAATTTGTTTGCATAAGCCCCCTTACTTGTGCCAACCGTGTGCTATCGTTTTCCCCGCCCCACCCCACGTATATGCTCCTTTTGAGTCAACTCAAAAGTCACCTCGCCTCCTTACTTGTGCCAATTGTGTGCAATCGTTTTCCCCGCCCCACCCTACGTATATGCCCCTGGTACCTACCCTGCCCATTCCCCCCTTTCAGCTAACCCCACATGCAGCAGCAGCAGCGATGCAGGGAGCAGTGTTCTGTGTGTGCCTGCCTGACGCCTCCCACTGGCACGAGATGGTGTGCATGGCTCAAGCCGTGGTCAACGGGTGTATCCCTGTCACCTTCTTCCACCACTACCGCCACCCCTGGCTGCACTCGCTGCCCTTCAGGTGGGTCAAAGGCACTACCTGCACCCCTGCCTGCACTCCCTGCACTCATGCTTGCTTGTCTTTGACTCAGCCAGCCCCACTTGCTGCATCCCAGTCACCTTCTTCCACCACTACCGCCACCCCTGGCTGCACTCGCTGCCCTTTAGGTGTGTCAAATTCACTCTCTGTACATTTCAGGTGTACACTCTCCCTACCATTCAGGTATGTCATTGCCACATCCTGCACTCCTGGCTGCATGCGCTCATGCTTGCATGTCTCCGGGTTTACTGGGTGCATCCCAGGCACCCTCTTCCGCCACCACCACCACCCCTGGCTTCATACCTTACCATTCAGGTGCATTAGCAGCACTCTCTCTGCCCTTGACGTCTCACGTTGCTTCAAGGTTCATGTATGATTGAGCTCTCCTCCCCCACCCGCCCTCCCTGCAGTGCTTTCTCACTCAACATCGATCCCATGGGCGTGCACGAGACGGCAATGATGAGGCTGGATATTGGTGGAAATGCGTATTAGCTGTATTCTCCTCTCCATCCCGCCCCACCCACCCTCCCTGCAGTGCCTTCTCTCTCTACATTGATCCCATGGACGTGCACGAAACAGCCATGCGCCTCGATGTGATGCTGTTGGATATGAGCCTTCTGTAGCGCATGCAGACGGAGCTGCACTGCCCTCGGTGCCTCAATGGGGGAGCAGACTGAGCAGCACTGAGTGCCATCTATCCTTCTTCCCGCTTCCTCCTCTGTGCCACCCTGCAGTGCCTTCTCTCTCAACATTGATCCCATGGACGTGCACGAAACAGCCATGCGCCTCAATGTGATGCTGCTGGATATGAACACGAGCTGCCCCATCCTCTCCATCCCCCCATCCACACACCCTGCACTGTCTGTTGCCCACCCCCCTTGCAGTGCCTTCTCTCTCAACATTGATCCCATGGACGTGCACGAGACGGCGATGCGCCCCGATGTGATGCTGCTGGATATGAGCCTCCTGTGGCGCATGCAGACGGAGCTGCACTCGGTGCAATATGAGTGCAAGCCATGCTATCTATCTACCCCCCAAACCCTCTCTCCACTGCCCTCCCCTCCCCCCATCTGCCCCTTGCAGTGCCTTCTCTCTCAACATTGATCCCATGGACGTGCATGAAACAGCCATGCGCCTGGATGTGATGCTGCTGGATATGAGCCTCCTGTGGCGCATGCAGACCGAGCTGCACTCAGTGCAGCAGAGATTGCTCTATAACGAGTCTGCTCCTATCAGTGCTGTTGACCAGGTCAGTCACTCCCTTCCCTAGTACAGTCGGTGCAGTAGAGATTGCTCTATAATGACTCTGCTCTATAACGAGTCTGCTCTATAACGAGTCTGCCCCTATCAGTGCTGCGGACCAGGTCTGTCACTCCCTTCCTGGTACAACAGGTGCAATTTCACTCCTCTCTTCCGTCCTTACTCACGCTTCTCATCTACCCTTGTGTTTCCACTGCCACTCTCGCGATCAATCTGAGCTCACTCAATGTACTTCCAATTTACCCCTTGCCACTTCTCTCGTTCTGCGTTAGCTTTTTCCTAGCTACATTATTGTCCGCGCTGTCCCTCTGATCGGCATCAGATATAAGCATACTTAACCTGTTCCCATGCCCCTTTATGTTATCCCCTCCGCACTTTTCTGTGTATACATGCTTGGTGATTGTGCCTGCTGAATCCGGACTTGGAGTGTGGTTGTGAATGGTGTGGGTTGTGAATGGTGTGGTTTTGAGCGGTGTGGAATGGGGTGGTTGTTCCTTGGCTACGGTGTGGCACGGGACACTGTTCTACGCGCACTGCCATGTTTTGAAACGAATGTTGCTATGGGATACTGACGTGAGATGCGACAGGTTTTCACAGCTCTTCAGAATAAAGCTAGCTTGATTTTGTACGGTCAACCACTGGAAAATAACGAGTAATATTAACCATCTTTCTTTGCTTTGTTTCTAAGGGCTAATGGCAGAAGCCTCACAAGAAGTACACATATGGAAGGTACACCATGCGTCAACATTGTAAAAGAAGATACAATTTCAGAGCTACTTCCTCCTACCTACATATGGTACATTGCGATGCAGATGTTACATAGAGAATATAGATAAAACACCACTGGAGGGAGACAAAAAGCTACACTAAAAAGCCATCCCCAAGTGGCCCCAAAAACTAATCCTAAGCACACAAGCCTTACAGCCGTGAGCTGGCCAATCCCAGAAATCACTATCAACTTACAGTGGGTCCAGGTGGGCAGCCACCCACAAAAAAGAAATGAAAAAGAAGAAAAAAGACACCATCGGCAGCAGAAGGGAGAACACCAGCAGCAGCCGAATCGTAATGCAGCCCAGGTTGCAGAGCATACCGGGCAGAAAAAAAAAAAGGGACCCTGAATGGTGGGTCATTTTTGCTGGCTGCTTTAGGCAGGGAGAGGGGACAGCTACCCTGGCGTTTCCATCCATCCACTGTATGTACACCACTCTGGAGGAATGATGGCTGTAGCATGGTAGCTTCTGACGAACAGTCATGACTCATAATGTGTGCCCTCCCTTCATGCCGCGCTTGTGAGATTCGAAAATCATGCTGCAGAGGAATCATGCTGCAGAGGAATCATGCTGCAGAGGAATCAAGCTGCAGAGGAATCATGCTGCAGAGGAATCATGCTGCAGAGGAATCATGCTGCAGAGGAATCATGCTGCAGAGGAATCAAGCTGCAGAGGAATCATGCTGCAGAGGAATCATGCTGCAGAGGAATCATGCAGCAGAGGAATCATGCTGCAGAAGAATCATGCTGCAGAAAAATAATGCTGCAGAGGAATCATGCTGCAGAGGAATCATGCTGCAGAGGAATCATGCTGCAGAGGAATCATGCTGCAGAGAAATCATGCTGCAGAGGAATCAAGCTGCAGAGGAATAATGCTGCAGAGGAATCATGCTGCAGAGGTAGTGTGCTGCAGAGGTAGTGTGCAGAGGTAGTGTGCTTCAGACGAATCATGTTGCAGCTGGAGCAAGCTTGGCGATCCAAGGATGCTCTGCGGAGCGGGGAGATAGGGAAAGAATGGCAGATGGGAATGGGCGATGGTGAGATGCGCATCCAGATCAAACCCAATGCCAGATCTCTCCAAAAGTGGGGTGTCATGCAAGGCATTCAGGAAAAAAAACAAGGAGCTATAATGAGAATGGAAATGGGGAGACTGAGGCCGAGGCCAACCCTCACCTAGAGCCTCCTGGGCAGTGATGCGCTTGCTCGGGTCTTTCTCCAGCATCCTCGTTATAAGCTCCTTTGCTTCCCCCGACACGTCCGCCCACTTCCAGTGCTTGAAAGAAACCTTCTTGATCCTTATCGCCTGCTCCAAACTCCGATTGGTCGACTCCCAAAAGGGCGGGATGCCCGAAAGCATCACATAGAGTGAAACACCAGCACCCCATACATCGGCACCAAAACCGTATTTCTCATCATACACTTCAGGTGCCATGTATTCCGGAGTTCCAGCTGCCTCCCTGCACAGTGTACCCTCCGGCAGCACTGTAGCCACGCCGAAATCAATGAGCTTTATAGAGGAGCAGCTGGAGGGGCTACAAAGGAGTATGTTTTCGGGCTTCACGTCGCGGTGGAGTATTCCCAAGGAGTGGGAGTGGATAAGAGCTTCCAGAAGCTGCCGAACAATTGAAGCTGCTTCGGGTTCGGAGAGTTGTGCGCGGGATTTGATTCTTTCGAAGAGGTCGCCGCCCGGACAGAGCTCCATGATGAGGTGGATGGCCGTTTTGTCCTCTAGCGCCTCCTTGAGTGTGACGATGTAGGGGTGGCCTTTTAGCGTTGCAAGGAACATCACCTCACGCCGTACGTCCTCTGCTTCCTCAGGAGTCTGCAACAAAAAAGTGGAGAGAGAAAGATGAAGGATTGATTAGGGATGGGGGTAATCTAAGGTGTGTACTAATGCAGAAAAGAGGCATCAGAGGAAATATTAAATTAGAGGATATGGTATATTGACCATAAGGCATGAACCAAAGGTTTGGTGTAACTACAATGAGAAAAAGAAACCAAGAGGTAGACTGATGAAAATGGTGTACACAATAAAATGATTATCACCTCGATAATCTTCTTAGAAATCGTCTTGCAAGCGTAGAAGTTGCCAGAGCTCCGTTCAAAGCAGGTTCGGATCGAACCGAACCTGCCCTCACCAATCTCCTTCTTCCCAAGCGAATACCGAGCCTTGATATCCTCATAACGCATTTTGAGAACGAAATCCGATGGCTTCAAACTTTTCCCTCCCGCCGATATTTCTGCCATATAGCTGCCCGGATTGGTCGGGCAGGGGCTACTGCATCCGCTATTGGTGGAGCCATCCCCGCTGCTGCCTCGGGAGAGGGAGAGCACATTGGAAAAGAATCCCGAGAGTTGCTCGAAGCTTCCGTGCTTCCCCAAAACGCGCAGCTGCTTCACGCGATCGCGTTTAGATCCCTCCACCATTAGCTGTCGCTGCTGCGGCTTCTGCTTCTGCGCCTTCATCTGCTGCTGCTGCTGCTGTTGCTGTTGCTGCGCGGCGGGGGGAATTGCATCTTGCGCCTGCGCGTTACCCTGCGGCGCACCTGATCGTTCCCTCTGTGACGGGCTTTCAGAAGGGCCGGATTTTGCGGGAGGAGGCGCGGCGGGCGCGGAGAGAGCACAGGCAGCGGCAGCGGAAAGGGGAGAAAGCGGAGAAGTGGAAAGCGGGGAGGAGGGGAGCGCAGAGGTTACGTCGGCGGAGATCGGGAGAGAGGAGCAGGAGGACACGCGTCCGCGGCGCAGGCGGGAAACGGGAATAGCACGAGCGGGAGTAGCGCGAGGAGCACTTGGCGGAGGCCCTGCGGGGATGGGGGACGTTGCAGCGACATGCTCCACGGTGCTTCCACGGACAGCGCACTCTGCTGAGCGTCCGCTCAAGGCGCCCGCGGCGTTCAGCAGATCCCAGCGCACTCCGCGCGCCTCGCACTCCGCCATCAGCCGCCGCGCGGACTCCAGCAGGTCCAGCGGGATGTCCGGCGCAGCCATCGCCGCCGCTCCTGCCGCCGCCGCCGTCGCCGTTGTGGCGGCTTCCGCGGCCGTGATGATCTCCGCGCTGGCGCTTCCTTCCAACGATACCCGCTGCCCGCGTTTTAATCGCCTGCTACTGCTGCCGCTGCCGCTGCCGCTGTTGCTGCTGTTGCTGCCGCTGCTGCCACTGTCGCTACTGATGTTGCAGCCAATGCTGCTGTCGCTGCTGCTACTCCTGTTGCTGCCGCTGCCGCCGCTGGTGACGCTGCTGCTCCCGATGCAGTCCTCTCGGCTGATGCGGAGAAGCTTCTCGGCGCTCTCTGCGCTCCCCTCATCCACGTGGAAGGCGCGCGGGGACGGGGGAGAAGCCAGCGCAAGCGGAGATCGGGGATGTGGGGAACGGGAAAGCGGGGATCGCTGATGCGGAATGGTAGTAGAAGCGCCGTGCGGAGACAGCTCCGCCGACGACGTTAATCGCTCCGTGCTCAACGGCGGCATCGCCATCATCTTATTCCACGCTCGAGCCGCCGCGAGTCTAGCGGCCGCCGGGGACCGCGGAGGCGCCCGCGCGACACCCTCGCGGGGAGTCGCACCGCGCGGGGAGAAAAGCGGGGATAACTCCGCCGGCAGGGCGCGGGGAGAGGAAGATAGCTCCGTCGCACACGCCGTCGCGTCATCATCGCACGGCGAGCGGAATCCAGCCGCGCTGAAGGGGCTCCGCTGAGTGTTGATGCGGCTGTTCGCCCCGGCCGACGACCCGCGCGGTACCCCCTCCGGCAACTGTAGCGGCGTTTCGGCGCTACAGCCGCCTCGTTGTAGCGGGATGGCGTCGCTGGAATAAGAGAATCGACGCGGCGGCGATCCCCCGGGCCGACTCGGAGGCAAGGACTGAGACGAAGGTGACTTGGGCAGCGGTGACTTTCTCGAGAGTGACACAATCGAGGGAGACTTGGGCGAAAACCCCAAGACGGTTACGGTTTGGCGCGCCGGGACCAGGCGCACCAGCTCTTGTCTGCCGCAATGCCCGCTGTTTTTCCTGCTGCCCGTCTCGGTGCTTCCGCTGCTGGTGCCGCTGATTGAGGAACGGCGGTTGTGGCGGGACCGCACGGCAAATCCGTCGATCTTGGGCACCACCATACGCTGCGTTCCTTCTCGCCCCGCGTTGCCGTCGAGACTTCCATCCAACTCTGACGGGCTGGATTGCGGGGACGACGCGACGCGGCGGTGTCGGCGCAGTCCGCCGCGGCTTAACCGCGCCGGGTCTGAGCACA